CCGACTCCACCTGGAGAATGACCATCGCCCTTCAGAGCTTAACAGGTGCCTCTCAGCCTTGAACTCCAGTGGACATCACCATGTGACCCTGGGGTCGTGCCTGCCTGCTAGGAAAGTGATGCTCACCAATTCCCTTCCCTTCACAGAGCATGGAGGAGCCATTTGGTAAACTGTGCAGCTGGCGGTCAATTAACAGCCAAGCGCCCCTACACCCAGAGAGGCAAGGAACATGCGCAGGGGCACCCAGCGACCACAGGATGGATGGGAGAGCCACGGGAGGCTGCTTGCCTCCCTCTGCCCGGAAACCTGCAGGCTCCATTGAGCCCTGGCTCCCTGGCACTCCAAGCCCTGTCCCTGGGCTCACACAAAAATACACCGCCTAGAGCAGGCAGGGGGCCCACAGTGCGCAGTGCATGCTGCCTCCACCTCCTCCCTCCAGGGCATCCTTCCCTCCTCCTGCCAGGACATTCCTTGACAAAGAGCTTCCCCAGCCTGCAACAGGAGGTTGGAGACCTGAGGACCACACCATAGCCGATACCTGGTTGGAGGGAATGTCCGAAAAGGCCAGGCATAGGCTGGTCAGGCATAGCCAGAGTACAGCTCCACGCGGGGGGCTGCGGGGCGCTGTGCGGGGGCCAGCCCCAGGCGTCCTGCGTGCCCCAGAGGCAGTTGGGTCAGTTGGAGATGGAAGCTCCTGCAGATCAGTGAGGTCGGGCAACTGCTGAGGATCCTGGCTCATAAGGTACCCATGGCTGGCATAGGCCAAGTGTAGGAAGGATCCACAGGTGGATAAGACAGAGGAAGCTCTGGAGTTTTGGACATGAGGTACTTTGCTGGGATCTCACATGCATCTCTGCATTCAGTCTGATTCCAACGTGTTGTCCTCACACAGGCATATCCCAGCCCTAGGCCGTGTTTTCTTCCCTCATCTCAGGCTCCACTTTATGAAGTCTGTTTTGGAACAAATTATGCACAAACCTGCCACAGAGAAACGAGGAATATGTTGTAAGAAATCCTGCTCAAATGGTCTCTAACGCTTCAGATCAGGATTAGAATATCCAAATATATAGAAAAGTAAAAATACTGGCAAACTAGAGCCAGAGCCTATCAAGACTGGCACAGTTGGGCACTGCTGAGCTTTGTGGCAGAGTAATGAGACAAGGCCAGTTCATTATGGGCAGCCCAGCTCACCAGGCACCTCGCTGGTCTGTGTTGAGGTCAAGCCTTCAAATGCTGTAATGTCAGTAGCAAGTTTGGTTTTGATTTTGGTTGGCTTGTTTGCCTTTAACTTTTAACTTCGAAAAAATTACAGATTCATAGGAAGTCGCAAAATTAATACAAAAGTATCCCATGCACCCTTCACCCAGTTTCCCGCAATGTTAACATTTTACAGAACTATAATGTGAAAACCAATAAGTTGGCATTGGTGTAAGCCGCTGAGTTTGATCAGATTTTAGCAGTTTTTCATGTACTCATGTGTGTGTGTGTGTGTGTGTGTGTGTGTGTGTGAGAGAGAGAGAGAGAGAGAGTGTGTGTGTGTGTGTGTAGTTCTATGCAATTGTAGCAAAGGTAGATTTCTGTAACCACCACCATAATCAAGACACATAACCTCTATTTCCGCAAGGATGCCTCGCTTTCACCTGCACACACACTCATCCCTCTTCTCTCCTCCCTCCCACCATCCTGAAGCCTTGGCAACCACCAATCTATTTTTCATATCTATAATTTTGTAAACTTGAGGACATTAGCTAAACGGACTTATAGGATGTGATGGCTTGAGTCTGCCTTGAGACAGTTGATGTCTGTTCAAGCTGTTCTGTAGTTTCTTACATTTATTACTAAGATCTTATTCTTACCACCATTTGTCTAACCACTTACCCTTCTAGATATTTGGTTTGTTCCCAGTTTGGGGCTATTTCAAACAAAGCTATCATAAACACTCATGAGCACTTTTTAGACACTTAAACTGTACAAATTGTAAAATACATATAAACTTTACTATCATAACCATTTTTAGTGTGAAGCCTAGTGGCATTAAATAAATTCATATTGTTGTGCTACTAAAACCACCTTCTATCCATAGTATTTGTTTCCTCTGTGCTGGGTGTGGTGGCACATGCCTGTAATCCCAGCTGCTTAGGAAGCTAAGACAGGAGCATCACAAATTCAAGGCCAGCCTCAGCAACTTTAGTGAGACCCTGCCTTGAAATACAAACAATAAAAAGCTAGTGATACAGGTCAGTGGCAGATTATCCCTGGATTCAATCCTTAGCACTGGGGAAAAAGTTCTTTACATCTTGAAAAACTGAAACTGTACCTACTAAATGTTAATTCCCCCTCCCTGTCTCTCAGCCCTACCATTCCTCTTTATGTCTCAAGAAGTATACCTACTCTGAGTACCTCATACAAGTAGAATCACACAGTATTTTTCCTATTTCTGGTTTATTTCACTTAGCATTATCTCCTAGACTTTCATCCTTTTGTAGCACTTGGTAGAATCATCCTCTTTAAGGCTGAATAACATTGCATACACGTGTGTGCACACACACGACTCCATACATGTGTCATGTATGCAACTGGTACACATATATCACTCTATCTCCTGGGCATTTATCCTGTCAACTGTCAAAGGACAGTTAGGATATTTCCACCTTTTGTCTATTGTGAATAATGCTGCCATGAACATGGGTGTTATGAATATATCCTGAGTCCCTGCTTTCCGTTCTTTGGGATACATACCCATTCCACAGATGTTTTTGCATAGGAATAAGATTTCATTTCTCTGGAATAAATGCCAAGTACTAAGATTGCTAGATGTGAGATCAGTATCTGCTCAGTTAAAGAAACTGCCAAACTGTTTTCCAAAGTCATCTTAGCATTTCATATTTCCACTAGCAATGTGTAAGAGATACACTTTCTCTGCATGCTCACTAGCATGTAGTATTTTCACTATTTTTAAAGCTGTTCTAATGGGTTATAGTGACATCTCATTATGGCTTTAATTTATATAGTTAATGACACTGACCTCCTTTTCATATATGTTTTTTTCTTAACCATCAGCAAATCCTTTTTGCTGAAATATCTATTCATGTGTTCTGCTCATTTTCTAGTTGTATTGTTTGGCTTTGCTTTTCTTTTTCCCCCAGTATTGAGGATTGAACTCAGGACTACAAACATGCTAGGCAAGACCGTAACCACTGAGCAACATTCCCAGCCCTGTTTGGTTTCTTCTACTGATCAGTTAGAAGAGTTCTTTATTTATTCTAGGTGTGAGTCCATTTTCAGGTCAACCCCTCCAAATTGATCTCAGGTCGCATATTCAGAAGTCATTTCCTTCCTAAAATACAAAACTGTCCTTGCAAGAGAGCAATCTTATCAAGAATCACCAATATTGACGAGAAATGTGGATCTGCTGAGAAGATGAATGGCACTCACTATCATTGAAATCCATTTGTCAAACCTTTTCAGAAACTACATTTGAAGTTCAGGTGCCTATATGAGCCAACTGTTGTTTACTAATGGCACAGAAAATCCAATGTGAAAGTTTCTCTGTCACCTCTAGAAGCAGTTCTGCTTCATTCTAGTTCAGCCAAGAAAAAAAAAATCAATGTGCTCACTTACAACAAGACTAGTTCCTGCAAGTTGAATGTGTTTGCAAAATATGCTTCATTTCTGCACTTCCAAGCAGTTCTCAGAAAGCATATTCCAAGTGCAATTGCTGCCAGATATAAAAAAGTATGCTACCAAGGGAGCTGTTGTCCCTTAGCTCACAAAATTTGAGAAACGCAGTGGAATGCTGAGAAAATCAATTTTCAAAGTTTCTTTGAAATTCATAACTCATACTTTTCAGAATAAAATGCAGGGTCCCACATCTGTTGACAGATGGCACAGATGCTTCAATATGAAATCTTAAATGCCAATTATTACAAGTGGTTCTGCCACACTGCAGTTCAACCAGGGACAGCCCCAAAGTGCCCACTGAGAACAAACACACACACACATTGTTCCTTCAAGGTAAAGCTCCTTGCTTAAACTGCTTCTCTTCTGAAATTCAAAGCTCTTCTCAGCAAGCACTTCAGAGCACAGTTCTAGCCCAATAGAAAAAGTGTCCTAGCAAGAGGGTCCTGTTCCTAGGATCACCTTCATAAGGAAGATTCCCATCTTCTGTGTGGAAGTGAGTTTCTCTTTGGCCCTTATGCTGTGGTGGAGACTTCTAGGAGCTCAGGTTTGTGCAGGACCATCTGACCTGGACTTTTTGACAAACCCTGTGCAGCCCTTACACCTGGATTTTTTTTTTTTTTTTGCAAGCCCTGTGTAGCATGCTCAGATGCTACAGGATTCTGCAGAACAGTCCAGGCAACAGTAGGCATTCATTCATTGTTTATGGTCTACAGATTCCTAGATGGATGGCATTCATTATCATTCAACGCAGAAATTTTAGAAACCATATATATGCTATATATGGCATATATCATTCCAACCTGAAAAACTAAAATCAGAAATATTCCCAAATCAAAACAATGGATCCTCATTATGAGGCTACAAGTAGAAAATTCCATACCTGAACTCAGGGGATGGTTTACAGTCAAAACTAGGGGCACTAAATATATCAGATAAAATTGCCTTCACATTATGTGTAGAGCTGCATGTGAAGCACACATATATGCCTTCTTTAGACTTGGGTTTCATTCACAGGACATCTTATGGAATTGAAAATATTCCAAAATTGGAGAAGTATTTCAGCATAGACCAACTCACACTGTCTATCTCTCAGTGAGTGTATGTGCTCTTGTGTGTGTCTTTGTGTGTATTTGTGTCACAGTGTACAATATTGTATTGCTCCCATTGCAATATCTCCTAAAAACAAAATTTCTTCTGAACAAATGAAACATTTCTTCCTTTTGGTTTTTATGTTTCCTCTAGGAATCGCTGCTACAATCAATATACTCAAATCATCAAAGTAGATCAGAAAACAAAAAGATTATATTTTAAATAGTACTTGGTTTAAACGACAAATGATATCATAATGAATGTGTTACGAAAGGGAATAAATAACAAAGAACTAACGTCAAATTATAGATTGGCAACTTGAAAAGTTTGAAGCAAATACTAAAAGAAGTGAATGTCAATGATCATGGGATGTTCAGCACTGCCCAGCCAGACAGTAGCAAATTGTTCTTCAAAGGATCCGGTAGAGAGATTGAGCCTCCATTGCATCATAAGGGGGAGGTTGGCCTGGATCCACTCATCCTTCTCCTTTGGGATGGTCCTCTTCCTCAGCACAAAGTCATATTGAATGTGAGAATTCATGACATAGAAAACATTTATGTCATGAGGAATCTTCAGCTCTGGGGAGAGGGGTATCAGGATGGAAAGTGGCACTCAATAGGTGCACCACATGAACCCCCAACATGGGAGAACCTATGTCAGGAAGGACCTGAGCCACAGACCTGAGAGCTCTCCAATTCAGCTCCAATACCAACAAAGACATCCACAGTAGTCTTCCCTGAGGAAAAACTATGCAGAGCACTTCAACAGAACTAAGATCTGTTGCTTCCAACGGTTTTAGACTGCAGAACCTTCCAGTTTCTCCTGGATCTACAAAAGCACACCACTAGGTTGGCATCTGGAATCTCCCAAAAAAGGCTTGTGTGCCGACGATTTGGTCCCCACATCAGCCATCTTCACAGGTGAGTTTGGAGGGAAGCATTCAATGGTGAGTGCTCTGATGACATCATGAAATTCTCATTCAAGATGAATCCACTACTGGGAGGTGGGAGGGACTGGAAGAAAGATTGGGCATGGGTGGAGGAAGACCTGACTAGGTTTTGCCTTTGGTAACTATCTTGGCCCTGTTGGATCCTCTCAATGCTCAATCTCTCTGGTAGTATTCATCCTCTACCTCCTATCTGTATTTCTCTCTCTCCCAGCCTCATTCTCTCTCGCTCCCAGTCTATGCCTTTGTGGCAAGGGCTGAGGAGCTCTCCATTGCCACACACTAGAGCGTTATGGACAGCTTCAGTGCACAACCAAAGAGAAAGCTATGAAACCCGGAGAAAAGGCCTAGGATTCCTCCTCTGAGTTATTTTCCTCAAGTAAGGCCACAGTGAGGACAGGCTGACCAGAACAGATACCATATTTGAGCCATGCTTCTGCCATTGTTGGTGCCCGCCTCCATGTGGACCAGGCTTCCCAGAATTGTGGCCACATCCCAAATGCTGCCCTACTGAGAACAATGGCTCCAAAGATCAGCAAAGGGACTGCTTCCCTCCAACATGGTGCTATGGTTCAGCAGTGCTTTGGTCCAGTGGGGGAATACAACAGCCAGCTTCTTCTTCCTCTGAACACCTGTTTCCTGCCGGCCTCCTCTATCTTAGAGCCTGTATTCCATCCCTTCTGGGTTGGATGTTTGGATCTCTGCTATCAATTTCTTAGGCTACCAAGGCCACATACTTCCTCTTCCATAAGACTCTACTAACCCAACAGACTTAGTAGGTTAAGATAGGAGAAAATTTAACCTAGAACTCACATAGAGTTGGTAGCTTTCAGTGTAGATAGGCTGGGATCATGGCTGCTGTGGGTGTTTGTCTCAAAAAAAAAAAAAAGAGCACTGGCATTATTATCAGATGAGCTTTGTGACAGACGTGCTCAGCAAGCCCTCATCTGACTTTAGTTAGGGGTCATAACCTGGCTATTATGATCACTCCTTGGCAAGTGAACTCAGGTGCGGAAGACCATGGATATGTCCAAACACAGAAGATTCAGGCTGTCTCCCAGGCTGTGTTTTCTTCCCAATTTCATCCTGTTACTGCTTGCTAGTATCCTGGCAATGCTCTGCCCAGGCAGTGGTTTTCTGGTCACACAGAAGGCTTTCAATAGTACTGCTTCAGTCCACAAAATGCCAGTTCCATCATTAGCCCATGCATTCCCACATTCCTTTGAAACCACTCCTATCCCAGACCACGGAGCCATACTGCTCCTGGAAAGAGGCTTTCCTCCTCACTCCTCACTGATGTCAGCTTTGGATGCCCGTTCATGTCCAGGGGAGGGCACCTGGTGGGGAGCCCCACTAGCCACTGGAGCATACCATAGAACCTCGAGACTTTCCACCAGCAGAAGTGCAGTTTGCTTTATGCACGAGCCCCAATACACCCTGTTGGAGTGTTCTTGAGGGTCAGAGACTACTCTTTGTGGATAAGATTCGACCTAAGTCCACATCCTAATCTTTGCTCCCTGCCATCTGATAGTCCCACTTACTACAATGGTTGGAGATGATTTAGGAAGTTCAGCTCGAGGGCCCTGCTCCTGGCAGGCTACCTGGAGCAGCATGGGAGACAGACATGCTGGAAATTGGTTTTGAAGTGGCTACTCAAGGACAGTGGACAGAGACACTCAGGAGGCACCTCAGCTCTAAATACAAGGGCAACATCCATGACCATGACCTATGTCCTGAGATTGGCCTCCTGATAATCATGTGAACTTGACCAATGGGCTGCTAGCCCAATCCTTGGACAAAGGACTGCCTGGACCTACCGTTGATCTTTTTGTGGGGCCATATTTCACTCAAGATGAAAGGACCACACAACCTGTATACAGACATAATCTCATCCCACCAAGATGGGAGGAATGGGACAGTAGCCTCCAAGATCCCAGGTCTGCCCAAGGATGCAGGCTACATTGGGAATGGCTCAGGCACAAAACCTAGAGGCTTTGGTCTGGATTTCCAGGGCCCAAAACAGACCCAGGAACATGACCATACACAGGAGTGTTGAAAGATAGTCACGAGAGCTCTTGGCCTCCAGAGGCTCAGTGCTGGCTGGGGTGTAGGAGGACACCTCATTGGCAAGGGTGGTCATTGGGTTACCTGGACATTTTGTGTACTTTCTCCACATCCAATCGACTCTGCAGAGAGACCCTCTCAGCTCCTTGTTCAAGAAACATGCAGAATCTCATACTGCTATTCTCCTCCATGGACGCCAGTATCCTCCATCTCATACAGGGAACCTACAACCTAGATACTGTCCTGTTCTCATTGGCCACCAATACCTGCCACCCGACATATAGACTCCTTCAGACATGGCGGTGGACATGCTGCTGCTCTCCCTCAACTCAGGTCAAGCTCTTCACACTGAACTCTTCCTTCTTGATTCCCGTCTAGCCCCCTGATCATCCAGAGGCTCCAATTCAAGAAGGCATGAGCAATCCATGGAATTGGTCTAGTGTCTATTCCCCACCCAGGTATAAGCACCAGGGGACACCCCTGCTCCAAGGTTTACCAGGACAGCCTTGGCCTTCTTTTTGATCTGCTTCTCTAACCAGGAGCGAATCAAACAGGTTTTACCCACCTCCTTGTTGAACAGTGGCCTTGAGGAACTGGAAGTTGATTCTGAGAACTGTTGGGGATGGAATATCAGCAAAGCCTAGAAATGGAAAGTCATCCAGCCTGGCAGTTGGCTCTCTGGGCATTCTAGAACATATGTCCAGGTGATGAGGCTTCTTGCCTCCTTGTGTGGTTCTAGAATGGCATCAGGAGTGAAGCATGCATAAGGTAGGGTTTTACATGCTTTTCCGTGACCTGGGCCCACTTGTTGGTGGTTCATTTTCTAATACATGGAAAAATAAATGATTCCATGGCCAGGGACCTTTACTTCTGCAGAGAGAGGTAGAGAGGATTGTTAGGTGACACTCAAGGATTATTCCACAAGAAACCCCCAACACCTGAGAGTCTCCGCCAGGGCAGGCCTACCCACACACTTGAGAGCCCTCCGATCCAGCTACAGTGCCACCAAAGACTCCCTCAATGATTCTTCCCTGGATAAGATGATGCACAGAATCTAAACCAAAAGAGCACCTGAGATGTCCACAGTGGGGCTGTGTCTTCAAGAACAATATTTTTTCTTTTAGTTACCTATGATCTCCATTTTCTCCTCCTCATTATAATTGTGATTCACATTTTTAATCTGCTCATTGTTATACTTCTTTTTCTTCTTCTATTTCTCCTTTTTTCTTTTTCTTCCAGTTCTTGTTTTTTCTTCTAGTTCTTCCTCATCTTCTCCTAATTCTTCTCCTTCTAGTCTTCTTTATGTTCATATTCATCATCTCTTCCCTCAATTCATTTTCCATTTTCTTCTCCTCCTCTTCCTCCCTCCTTCTTATTTTCCTATCCAAGACCAGCTCACTAAGCTATGAGTAGTTCTATTCCACCACACACTTCTCCCTAGATGTGGCCTCTACTCTTAAGTGGAGTCAGTTTGCAATGAAGGGAAAGTTCCTTCATTGGAAACCAGGTGCCTAAAGGAATGATTCTTCATTGAATGCTTTTCTCATGTACTTGTCTCAGGCATGATAGGCTGCCAAAATAGACACCTCTGGTTGTATGTACTTTGACAGAACACACAGAAGCCTCTCTAATCTGCCCCTCATGGACATTAACTTTGCAATGCCTGATCAGGTCGAGGCGAGGACACACATTAGGAAGGTCCAGCAGCTCCTGGTGCAACATTAAGAACCTGCAGATTTATGTCCCCATTGTTGCAGTTTGTTTTGTACACCAGGCCCAAAACATCCTGCCTGGTTTTTGTTCCTAGGCACACTGTTTGAGCTGCAAGTTATTCTGAGCCCACTGTGACTCATTGCTCCCCACCATTTGATTGTCCAACTTACTTTGGTGCTTGAGCCAATATACAGAAGCTCAAAGTTTTCTGGATCCTCCTGCTGGAGCAAGTGTTCATCTAAAGCCCTGCGGATGATGGTCAGAGCCCTGTCCTGGCATGTCACCCGAGCAGGATTGGAGAAAGCTCGTCAGAGAAGGAGTTTGCTCAAGAACAATCAGAGACAACTGAGCTCTCAACACAAGGGCACCATCTTGTTACCCTGCTACCTGAGAACTTCATGTGACTATGTGGGGCCTTCCTATGTGCTTCTAGCCCAATCTTGGTACAAGAGTCTGCTTGAACCTGCTATGCCCTACAGGGAGAAGGGAACAAGGACCAAACAGGCTTTGCACAGACACACTCTAGTCCCATCAAGATGGGAGGAATGATCCAGTGGTCTCCTATATCCCTGCTGTGGTCTGGGATGCGGCTGCATTTGTGTGCAGATCAGGCACAAACCTAGACCAGAGCTTGCTGGTGACTCTTTAATGATAGCCATGAGAGCTGCTGGCCTCTAGAGTCTCAGTGCATGCTGGGATATAAGAAGGTACAGGCCCAGCAGGGGCAGTGTTTGAACATGGCTCCTCTGTTGCTGGACACCTGGAGCCCACTGCAGATAATCCACACCCACAAATATTCTGCAAGAGAGTCTCTATCTCCCCATATATGTACATGCAAACTTTGAAACTAGTGGCCTTGTGTGAGGCTCCCAGTTTTCTGTGACCTACAGCTACCTAATCAAATCATGCTAAGAAGGCTCCTTTCCCTTAACCAGAAACATATCCTCTCCCACACACAAAAAAAATGACTGCCACCTCCTCTGCTCCAACCTCCTAGATCCAACACATTCATCAACAATACCAAGGCCAATAGAGGACAGCCTGTACCCTAGTTATTTCTCTGACCTCCTCTGAACTCAGCACTTGCTTCTGCACTTTTGGCCTACATACCCCAAAACATGCAGGCCCACTCCCACCCAGACCTGGCATGCTGCTGCTCTCCCACCTCTAAAGTCAAGCTCTGGCCTCTCTCTTCCTCATTTTCTGCTCTCCTTATTGACCTTACAGCAGCTCTAATTCAAAAAGACATGCCTAGTCCAAGATGTTTGCAGTGGACTCGGTCTTCCCCAATGTGGGCTCCCAGGAGACTCCCCTGCTCGAAGACTCACCAGGATGCTCTACTTTGTTGTGCTTTGGTTTTCCAGGAAGACATGAATGTGGCAGCTGCCTCCCACCCACTTGTTGTACAGGGGCCATGAGGAATACCTAGTGGAGACACCTGATTTCCTGGACTCCAGCTCTGGATGACATGCTGTTGCTGCTCCTTCCCAGGGCACCGGAGCCATTCCTGGAGAAGGCTCTAGCTCTGGGGTTGGCTTAGGAGCCTTCATTGGAACTGAGCTTGTAGCTAGAGGAGGAAAGATGCCAACATGACTGCCTTGCCCTGAGCTTCATACAAACAGACAATACCCCTGTCTGCCAGGAAGACCTCAGCCCCTGAGCCCACACAGGACCTCTTACACACAGCAGCTATCACCTGAGTGGACAAAGCCTAATCCTTTTCCCAGCCCAACACCATCCATACAGACTCCCCGTAGTGGGACAACACTGAGACCTTTCCTCACATACCCTTAGATACACACCCCAGTCCGCCTGGTACTCAGGCTCTGCCTTGCTTGACTTCCCATCATCAATCTGGGACAGCAGGTGGTATGCTTGGTGCTTCATGTTCAAGCCACCCAGGAGCAGGTGCATGTATGGCAGCAGCATCTGGAGAATCAGAGAGCCTAGAGGCTGATGGAAAGCCTCAGCGTACAAGACCACCCAAATACCAAGAAGGAAGTTAAGGCACTGTGGGGAGGCAGGTGCAGAGTCGGCAAAACCCTGGCCTGTCCTTTGCCACGGCCTCCAGTAGCAAACCTCCAACCCTATACTCCTGAACCTTCCCTGGCTCTGCACACACAAGTCCACCCCAGACAAGTCACAGTGGCTGTACAGGTAGGGACAAGACAGGTCACAAGGCAAAGAACCTTTAATCAAGGAGCGTTATATCAATGGTTTGAACAGCTCTCCCCTCCTCTGGGCAGGCCTGACACTCTTCTTCCTCTTGGCTACGTGCTCTCCAACCTGGAATGCACCTTCCAGGAGTGTCTGTCCTCCTGCCCACTCTTCTCAGGGCTCAAGAGACACCTCCTCCCCTGGCGTGGGCTGCAATGCTACCTCATTCTCTGTGAGCTCTCACTGAGTCCCCTTGAGTAGCAGTAGACCTCTCTTTTCCCATGAGTGCAGACCACATCTCTGTGGCCCTGAGGGAGGACAGGGAGGTGTAGTGTGGGGGGATCCATTGTCCCAAGAGCTTCCCCAGAGGACCATGACTCTACCTACAACTCTCTGCCTTACCCCTCCTACTGTTGAAGCCCCACACCTTACACTGCAGGCAGAACATAGAATTGGGGAGAGCAGTCTTTCCTCAGCCTTCCCAAGTCAAATCACCTTGCAGGTTCCTATTCTAGAAACAGGAGCCCACCCTCTTGACCCCAAGCCCTTTGCACCTGCAGTTTCAGGTTGACCCCCATTAAAAGGGACACATGATAGTCATTTGTACCCCATTTTTCACTGAATTATGTAATGTGCCTGGAAACGTGTCTTCACACACTGGGTGCTTTCTCCGTGTTCATCAGTGAATAAGCCCAAACTGATGATTCCCACATCTCTCTCTGGACATGGGAGCTGCCATCTCTAAAGCCCCTGTCCAGCTATATCTCATATAGGAAGCTCTGTCCCACTATGGAACCTGACGTCTTTTATTAACACAAACGTGCTTTGCCCAGGGCCTGAGTTATGAGATGCCCCTGGCACAGACCTTCTTTCTTCATGAAGAAAACATCACACCAAATAACCCCCAGGCCTCACTGAGTCCACCTGGGAGTGAGCTCAGAGCACACTATTGAGCAGCAATTCCCTGTGTGTGAGGAGCAGATGGACACAGGATGGATTAGTTGGCCCAAGAAGGGGACTTCACTCCCATTGCAAGATTGGGGCAGACACTTCTAGGACTCATCCCACTTGGTGCTCACACTTCCCTATGTGTGTGGTCCTCTATCTTCCTAGATTTCACAAAGCATTTGGGTCTCTGAGAGGTACATGGCAGCCCCAAGACCCAGGCATGAGGGGGATGCACACTTGGGCTTGGTGGTATGGTGCTTACCTTGAGAACAGCAGGTCCAGGACCTGCTGGGTGGGGATGAAATCCGAGTAGATGGACCCAAAGGTGCTGCCAAAATTTGAGTTCCTGCCACAAACGATGTGCACAAGCTGATTCATGAGCTGGTTCTGCTTATAAGCTTCAAGAGTCTCTACCCTGCAGGGCTCATCCATGTTCTGATCTAGCTCATTTTTGCACTGGTATCAAAAATGATGGGTTCAAATGGGAAATAGTAGCAAACAGGAAAAGGACTTATTCCAATACTGTGAAGTAAAAGCACAATGGGACAGTTCACATAATTTTACACACACACACACACACACACACAGAATGAGTCCTGGGCCATTCAGACAAAAGGGCCTGCTGGGCCTACCTGCCCTGTGCTACTCATTCTTGAGTTTCTCTGGGATCATCGCCAGAGACTCTAGCATCTAACATGAATCCTCTCCCAGTCTTCCCCCACAAAGGAAAGGCTGCACAATCTACCCTGGAGACTCCTGGGGGCCACAGGAGAACATCCTTCTCACTCCAGAGTCTGAAACAAAGTAAGCTGGGATGGCTTCCTTAGTGAAGTGTGTGTCTGGTTACCAGGGTTCCATGTCCTGTTTGATCCATCAAGGCGATGATGTCATTAGTTGTGATGTCCATTTCTGAGTCTCCTATTCATGAGACGACTTCCAAAAGCCAATTTCTCCCCCCTCATACAACAACATCAGTCACAATTTCCATGAGAAAGTCCCATGCAATCACTTACAAAGATCAATGCTCTAGCCCTACCTTGAAAGAGTCACTTAGTCTTAGCAACCATCATGACTAACCACTAAGTCAATGAATAAAGTCCTCAGGTATCAAGCTACAAAATGCAGAATGAGCAAGGATGAGGATGGGTGGGAGAATTCTCCCTCTCCAACACAACTAGGGAAGGATGTGCTGCCCTCAAGTGGCTGGGGGGGGGCTGGGATCCTGCCACAGAGGGGGGATTCCAAACCTCACATCCCCTGATCCAGGCCAGAAGACCAGGTAGAGTCCAAGGACCCTAGGGCAGCCCAATGGCAATAAAGGTCAAAAGGAACTAGGGATCTGCCTGGACCCTCAATCCCCTACTCTGAGCAGGGCTGCATGACGAGGCCAGAGGCCATCCACAGCAATCTGCCTTTACAGGAAAACAGGGACTGCAGGCTGCCTCTGGCTCACTGAATCAGGGTGGTGTTTTCATAAAGCAAGACC